TTACAAAAAAAAGATACCATTCTCTCTTCCACTCACAACAAAAAACCAAAAAAATTAAGTAATTAATAATTCTTTCATCACCCCATTTTTGGCCAAAAAAAACTTTCCCTCCTCCCCTATAAAATTAATTATATGTCATTGCTAATCACCCTCGAAGGAATTGACGGAAGCGGAAAAACTACCCTGATTAATAACCTTAAAAAAAGTGGCGAATTAGACCTCATAACTCATAATTGACGAGACACTGAATTAGGACAAAAAATCTGGCATTTACTCAATGAAACCCGTGCCGAAGGGAAAAATAGTTTGCCAAGCACTTGAACTTATATTTTTCTTATTCTTTCTGCCTTTGACGAATTAAACCGAAAAGTAGTTAAGCCAAGTTTGCGAGAAAATAAAGTAGTAATTATTGACAGATATATTGATAGCACTTTTGTTTACCAAGGCTTAGAGGGGGGGCTAGGAGTTAATATTGTTTTAGAAATTGCCAAAAGAACGATTGATTTACCTTTGCCTGATATCACCTTTTTCCTGGATATTGACCCTCAGCAAGCCCAAGAAAGATTAAAAAAGAGAAAATTAGCCACTGGTGAATATACTAATTGAGATAATTTAAAACTAGAATTTCATCACCGAATTAGAAATTATTATTTAGAGTTAAAAAAATATTTTTCGGAAAGAATTTATATTGTTAATGCCGAAAAAAGTGAGAGGGAAATATTAGCCGAAGTTCAAGATATAATTAAACAAAATTGTTCACCAAAAAAAGAACTGCCGAGTTTTGTGCGAGTAGTCATCCAAAATGAAAAAGGAGAATTTTTGCTGGTAAAAGATAAATGGGGCTGAAATTTCCCGGGGGGCAAAATTGAAAAAGGTGAAACCCCAGAATTAGCAGCCAAAAGAGAAGTATTTGAAGAAACTAATCTAGTAGTGGAAAATCTGGAAAAAATTGACGAAGGAAATATCTTTTATGCCAACTTACCGAAAGATATTCAGCACTGAAAAGGTTATTTTTTTC